TTCTGCTTTGTTCCCTTGTTTGAGTGGCTGATCCTAGGTAGAGTGGTAGTGACCACATGGATAGCTAAGTACTTACTTCTTGTTTCAGGTAGTCATTTGCGGTTAAGAACCGCAAAACTCTGTTAAAAAAAAATAAAAATTCTGGGGCTTGGGCCAGAGATAAAAAACCTTTTGCCATAGTTTCTGAGTGAGTTAAATAGCTGTGTATGCCTATGTGTATAATCACACAGTGAACGTTTGAGTGCTTAGCAAAAGGCTGGGGAGCTGCTGTGTAATGTCATTTACCTTGGCACTTGAAAAGGAGTAGGTTATTGCCGAGTTTCTGTTGACGTATCTGTGATAGTCTCCAACAATCAGTGTGGACGATGGAGACTGCAGCTCGCAGCAGTGCTTGATGTAAATGCCTCCCATTGGCGTCACGTAGCGTGGTCCAGCGAGAAGGTCGTGCATTGCGCGTCTATCGTCAGCGTCCAGTGTCGAGGTGCATCGAGAAGGCTGCGTGTCGCCGTGCAGCGAGAAGGCTGTGTGTCGCCGTCCAGCGGTGGGGTGCGGTGAGAACGCTGCATGTCAGCATCCAGTGGTGCTGTCCGACGAGAAGGCCGCGTTGAAGAAGCCCGCGGTGGTGGTAAACTAAATGAATAAATGAACCTTGAAATTAAATGTTTATTGTAACTTTAAGCAGCACTGAAACCAAATAACCTTGCATATAGATTTGTACATTGTTTGTTTACTATTTCAGAAAATGAAGAATTTGTTGATGCTTCAGGGGAATGACCATTTTTTTTGAAGATTAATAGAAATCAAAGCATTGTCTTCAGTGACTTTCTACTGCTTTTTTCTTGCTAGTAGATTTTCTGTAATAACAGGAGATCTCTTATCTAAGGTACGTTCTTTAAGCTCTGAGCATAAATGACTCTGTAACCATTCCCAGACCTAAGTAAATTTTAGATTTGGTAAAGCTAGGCCTCCATTTTCTGTAGAATTTTGGTTTTTAACCTAGGTGTTTTACAGTACTAAATGAACCTCAAAAATGGTTTCTAAACTACCACTTTCTTAGATAGCCAAAGTGGTAACATCTGCATCAGGTAGAGAATTTTAGTTAGCTAATTCTCTATCTAAGAGAGAGGAATGTCATTCCACCAGCTCACCTTTGACAGGTTTGACAACAGGGGCTAAATCACGTTTCCATAAATCCTGTGAATTTGGTGAAATCTTTGTTCACAAGTAAGTAAAGTCTGTAATGAACTGTCTAAAAGGGAAGGATGCAAGGGAGTTATTATGCTATAAGAGAGTTATTGTCAGCACACACACACACGTGGCATACGTGGCATCTTTCCCTTTTTATGGTGAATAGGATTGTGCCACCGGCCTCACATGACTCATGTGCTTTGTGTTGGACACATGGCTTACCAGCCCACAACATATTATTAACTTTAATAAAAACAAGAATTAAAAAAAAAAGGAATCTCCTTTAAACAGTTATAACTGCATGATGACCTGTGCTGAAGTGATTTGACTTAAGTATATGTGCCTTTTTCATTCCAAAACCGGATCGTGAAAAAAAAGGTTTTGGTAATATAAGTCTAAAAAAAAAAGAGATTTGCTTTGTTTACCTGTTTCACCAACTAATTTCATAATCATATTTTAAACAAACAAAATAAGGGGTTCTTATGTAATTCTGCTGAAGCAACACAGTAGAACAGAAATGTCCTGAAGGATCTAAGGCAGACGAATGCAGACGAAGAGAAGCCTTTGTGTCTTTTATGCAAGGATTTTTTGTTTCAGTCAGACTTCAATAGGTCAGATGCATTCTGGACTAAAGGATCCTATTCAAGGGAATGAGAAATACCTGCCAAACTACAGCACAACTGTAATTGAGTGCAGGCCTGCGCAAGGACATGGTGGGCTGGCCTAAATCAAATGATTTAGCTACATCAGTCATGAATTGTATCTGACTGCAGATAATCTAGCCTACTTCAATATTCAGGCATAATGAACACATTTATTTAGGAAGTTAAAACATCATGAAACCGCAGGAACGGCTTAATGTGTACTTGCATGATTGTGAAAATCATCAGAATTAGAAGAGGAGGACCTGCAGCAAACAAAAAGAACAAATCAGGAGAGCAGGGGTGGCATTCACTCAAGCTAAAGGTGCCTCGCTACAATGGACACCGGCCACGTTCTGATCTACTTTGGCTCAGACACAGATTTTGTCATCCCTAATGCTTTCTGTTTGAAGAGTACTAAATTTTTGATGCTTCTGTCCACTGTCATGCTTTCTGAACTGTGCTCAGCCTCTTGGGCCTTGGGCCTCCCCTAATGGCAAGGCCCCTGAAAGCTTTACCCTTTTTCCTCCCTTTTAGGCAGCCCTGGTTGTGTGTAAAATTCTGTCATGAGTACTTTAGGCTGAAATGTTTATTTAGGCCTATAAAGTGAAATTTGAGCTTGTTTAGGATATTGCTTTAATAAACAAGGAAGCAAATAGGCAAATGTTTTGAAAATGCGATGACTTATTAAACTTGTAGCCGCATACTAACAATGTATATTAAATTGAATTTAACAAAGGAATTTTTTTGTACATTTAGTTTGCATCAAATATTAGTATGAAGAACATAAATTACAGTAGAGCTTATATTCCTATTTCTTTGTATACTGCTTCTTCACTCTTGAAATGAGTTGAATGTGTTTAATTTGCTCAGTGAGTGTCATTGGTGTATCACTGGAGTGTCACTCCACACAGTTTTGTAATGTTTCCATTTCTCCTATCACTTTCCCTCTCTTAAGGCATTTACAAGTGTCCTTGAGGACTCAAGAGGCACATTTTAAGGGTTTCAAGCAGCAGATTCGGGATGTGATCGACAACATTAATCAAAATGAAGCTCTGCTGAAGAGAGCCCTTGATGATCACAGAAGGGTCAAGGTATTTTTTTTAATATCTGACTTGCAAACCATGCAGCATTTCCATTTGAATATATTGCTTGCTGCATTTATGACAGCTCAGAAATTGGAACTTCCTACTACTTGCCTTAGAGTGGTCACACAGCCTCACCTGATTAAAGTCAGTGAAAATGAAAGCTCACAATATGTTATCACTTACCTGGCTGCTGTGTGAGTATAAAGAGCATGAACAATTGTAGTATAGAATGTACTACAGTATATAATAGTATAAAAAGCATTTCCACTGTAGATACAAATACCTTTTAGTTGTTTTAAAGTGGATTGTCATACTTCACCGTTAATAACTTTCAAAAATGGTATTAAAGTGCAGTTTGATGAAAAAATTTTCACAGAACAACTTAAGCACCCAGTTATCCAACTAAGAATCCCCTGTGTTTAATGAGCCTAAGGCATGTCATACACAAATGGAAGCTTGAAAGTTTACTTAAAAAACAATCTATCATTACTTTTGGTGCTAGAATGCATGTTGACCTTTATGCTGAACACACCTGACTAAAAGTATTTTTTGGGTTTTGTTGATTTGTTTGTTATTCCCTGCTGTCACTGAATCTACAGGATCAATGCCGAAAACTTCAGTTGGAGATGAATGACTTGTGTAATGTGGAAGAGCCACAGTCAGAGGACCTGAAGCCACTGGTAGCATTCTCATTTTATTGTTTATGGTGTTTTTACAGTTGTACTTGTAAAACCATTTCTAAATAACCATTATCATTACAGTAACATTCATTATTCTCAATAGTAAATTTCACTTAAAATGAATGGAAGGACCTGCACACATATTCAAACAGTAAAGAACCTTCACAGAATTACCCTGTCTTGCGAGGTGGTCCTTGTGATCATAAGGCCTGTATTTTGGATAAAATGTTTTTGAGAATTATTTTTTCAGTCCAGCCTCATACTTCAGATGAATCTAAACCAGAATAGATTTGCACTGAAGAAAAAACTGGCACAGGTATTTTTGGCTGACAATTAATTATATAAATGATTGCTTTTAATGATATAATTGTCTTTTCTTGTTTATTGTTTGCAACTATGAAAATGCAAGCCTAAAGTGGCCAAATTGGCTTATTAGCAACCTTACTTGCTAGCTGTGTTAAGTTAGTAGTTAACACTGGTTGTATTGTTAAATCAGTACTGATTTACATTTACATTTACATCATTTATCAGACGCTCTTATCCAGAACGACTTACAAAAATTGCTTTGTCTATCCAGAGAAAGTATCTTCGCTAGTTACCAATAGGTTAGAGAGAAAGCCAGTCCTAAGCTCAGATACTGCTAGAATCAGAAAGTCATTGACACCTAGTGAAAAAGGAACAGAGTTAAACACAGAGCAGTGCAATACAATACATAAGTGCTGTACAATACATTACAATCAATACTTAATTCAGTGCTCATTTAAGTGCTGTATAAACAGATGTGTCTTCAGTCTGCGTTTGAAGACAGCGAGAGACTCTGCTGTACGGACAGCCAGTGGAAGTTCGTTCCACCACCTGGGTGCCAGCACAGAGAACAGTCTTGATGCTTGCCTTCCGCGTGCCTTGAAGGATTGCGGGTCAAGCCGAGCTGTACTCGAAGCTCGAAGGGCTCGTGGTACAGTTCGAGATTTGACCATTGCCATCAAGTAGGGAGGGGCTCGTCCATTTTTGGCTTTGTAGGCAAGCATAAGCGTTTTAAATCTGATGCGTGCAGCTACAGGAAGCCAGTGAATCCCTGATGGCCTGCATTGGAAGACCAGTCAAGAGTGAGTTGCAGTAGTCAAGCCTTGAGATGACGAGACTGCACTAGCACCTGGGTGGCCTCTCGAGAGAGAGAGGGTCGGGTCCTCCGGATGTTGAACAGGAGAAATCTGCATGACCGAGTTAGGTTCGCAGTGTGAGTCGAGAACGATAACTGGCCATCCAGAACCACACCAAGACTTCTTGCCTCTACAGACAGGACAATCAGAGAGTTCTCGAATGAGATGGCAAGATCATGATGAGGACCTGTAGTTGCAGGGATGAATAGCAGCCCAGTCTTGCTAGTCTAGCTTCAGGTGGTGAGCTGCCATCCATGAAGAGATGTCAGACAGACATGATGAGATCCGACTGGAAACCTGGGTGTCAGAGGGTGAGAAAGAAAGCTTTAGTTGAGTGTCATCAGCATAAGAGTGATAAGAGAAGCCATGAGATAATATTACATTGCCAAGAGAGCTAGTGTAAAGAGAAAAGAGAAGAGGACCTAGCACAGAGCCTTGTGGGACACCAGTGGAGGGCCTGCATGGAGAGGATGTGGACCTTCTCCATGTTACCTAATAAGAGCGATCCTCCAGATAGGACTTGAACCACTTCCACGCAGAGCCAGTGATTCCAAGGTTGGTGAGGACATCCAGAAGGATTGTGTGGTTGACCGTGTCAGAAGCTGCTGAGAGGTCAAGAAGAATCAGGACAGATGACAGACTGGCTGATCTTGCTGTCTGGAGCTTCTCTGTCACTGCTATAAGAGCAGTTTCTGTTGAGTGCGCTGGTTTGAAGCCAGACTGGTTGGGGTCCTGGAGCTGGTTCTGTGTGAAAAAGAGAGACAGTTGATTATAGACTGCACGTTCAAGAATTTTTGAAAGGAAAGAAAGGAGTGATACCGGTCTGTAGTTGTTGACATCAGAGCTGTCAAGCGTGAGCTTCTTCAGGATGGGAAGTACTCTTGCAGTCTTCAAAGTTGATGGAACTTCACCTGATGACAAGGACTTGTTAATGAGAAAGACTGATTATGTATAGAGTTAAACAAAGCTACATGTTCTTCACAGAAGTAAAAATATTAGCAAAAACACTTATTCTACCAGCATACATGCTTATATGTTAGAAGTAGCTACATAGCTTACAAATCAACAAACATTACTCATTTACTGCGTTTACTGTTACTTCTTTTATTACATAAATTGGCCTCAACCCAACACATATTCAATTCACATTTTGTTTGTTGCAGTATAATATAACTGTGAAATATAACAACTGTGCGAAATGATTGCAGTCTGCTTAAATAATTGTGATCATGTCTAATAATTGCAGTCATCTCAAATAATTGCAATTAGAGGATTATGTATTAACTGTAACAGGCCTAGTGATTAAAACAAAAGCACTTGGATGGGATACATCCATGAGCTACGGATCATGATCAGTTTCAAAAGTGTTTAAGGTCTTGGAAAGAATAATTTACATTTATCAATCATCCAGAAAAGCACCACCCTCTGAAGGATTACTGAAAGTAACTTTTCTGAGACTGAAATCTTTTCTGCTTTTTATATTAGTAGGCTTCTGGCTATTTTTTGACTTAAAGATGACATTAGAGCTAGCCTGAATACTTCAGAAATACCAGATTTTTTTATTCAAAAGCTTAATTGATAAAAAAATATGACAAATTACAGCTGGTTTAGTTTGTAATGCATTGTAAATTCATGCCAGGCATCAACTCACTGTAGAGCACAAGAAACGGCATTGGCTTTTTCTTGGCCATTTGAAGCTGAAAGAGCAAAGATTCCTTAGAAAGAAATCACATATGTGGGATCACTTTAGTATATTGAACAATAAGAAAAAAATTTGCAATGAGGTCATTTAAAATCATTTGAATTACGTAAATTAACCCTAAATTTACTGGCCTGCTTCCAATCCACAGTGCCTCCAACTCAGCTCTGTCACATAACGTCAGATATGAATATCGGCTCTTTTTCTCTCTTTATTTTCAAATTAAATTTTATCAAATTTTACAGTAGGTTAAAAACTTTACAGCACAAACTGCAGATCTGTTGTTTTTTTTTTATTTTTGTTTTTTTTTAAACAAAACATTCACAGGTTTTTGTATTTAAAGAGTAACTACACCCTAAGACCTTTCATTAACAGGACAAAATGACAGCACTTAACAGAAATAAATCCTGGATACAAACTAGGATTTATTCCATGACCAAATTATGAATTCTCTTTTTAATCCCATGTTTTAACATGGACTCACAATTCCACCCGATGACTGAAGTAAGACATACCACACCATCGAAATTGAGTGACTCGCAAACACCTAAATGTCCATTTAATATGCATTCCAACTGCTATTTCTTTTTCTTTTTGTGGTTTTCCCTCATCACTTCTTTCATTCTGATATGATTGTTAAACTGCTACATCATCAGTAAGCTGTGCGATTATCCAGTTGATCAGTGATGTTTATGATACTTCTTTTCTATATAGTAATTATTCTAGAAACATCAGACGGTTACTAAGTTCATATACAGTGCCCTCCACAAAAATGATATAATGATTGAAAGGCCACAATTGTTGTCACCCCTAGAAATTCTTAAGAGTGAAATGTAAATAAAGTATATTTTCATTCATATTTAATGTTTTAAAGTTCATCTGAGCAATTAGGCACGCTTGAATGGTCAGGCATGATTTCCTGTTTTACTAGGGAATATATAAGAGACGAAACATAGACCACATGCTCTCAGTCATCCATCAATATGGGGAAGACCAGAGAATACAGCAGTGGTGTGCGACAAAAGGTTGTTGAGCTGTACAAATCAGGAAATGGCTACAATAAAATATCAGAACAGTTGAAAATGCCCATTTTTGCCATCAGGGTATTTATTAAGACATTTAAAATGGAAATGTTAAGAAGATGTTGGACATGTTAAGAATCTACTGGAAAGAGGACGCATGTCTTTACTGACCCAACGCACGGATGGATCCTAGATGGGGAATTGCAAAAATTAGTAAAGTCTTGGGGTCAGAATGCCTCCCAAACCACAAACACCACTTATATAACCATAAGTTGTTTAGGGGGTATAACTGCCATCAAGGTCAGTTATGTAGTTTGACTTCATAATCTAATCTTGTTAGTTAACATGAACATACACAGATCAGGCATAACATTATGACCACCTCCTTGTTTTTACGCTCATTGTCCATTTTATCAGCTTCACTTACTATATAGGTACACTTTGTAGTTCGACAATTACAGACTGTAGTCCATCTGTTTCTCGGCATACTTGGTACCTCCCTTTTACCCTGTTCTTCAGTGGTCAGGACCCCCATGGACCTTCACAGAGCAGGTACTAATTGGGTGGTAGATCAGCACTGCAGTAACACTAATGTGGTGGTGGTGTGTTAGTGTGTGTTGCTCTGGTCTGAGTGGATCAGACACAGCAGTGCAGCTAGAGTTTTTAAACACTGTGTCCACTCACTATCCACTCTATTAGACACTCCTGCCTTGTCAGTCCACCTTGTAGATGTAAAGCCAGAGACGATGGCTCATCTGCTGCTGCACAGTTTGTGTTGGTCATTCTCTAGTCCTTCATCAGTGGTCACAGGACGCTGCCCACAAGACGCTGTTGGCTGGCTATTTTTGGTTGGTGGACTATTCTCAGTCCAGCAATGACATTGAGGTGTTTAAAACTCCAGCAGCACAGCTGTGTCTGATCCACTCAGTCCAGCGCAACACACACTAACACACCACTACCACATCAGTGTTACTGCAGTGCTGAGAATGATCCACCACCCAAATAGTATACTTGCATGTTAGCATGCTCTGTGCACTGCGACGAGAAGCAGAGCACACAATAAGCTTCACAGAGGATATTTTATGTTGCATTGCTGTGTAATAAGGTTTATGAAGATTGAAATGAAGTGAAGACTCGTAAAAGCTTAAATTTTCCTCTCTTTCCCTTTTTGTGTGTTAACGTAGCCAAATAGGTGGGCAAGGTTTTGTGTACATTTCGACATTATGCTTATAGATATGGAGTAGCCGTCAGCTAATATGCTAGTGGAGTTCATGTAACATGATATCACATCCGTGTTTTCATGAATGTTCAGCAAGCTAATTATACGTAAGTTTAACGGCATTGGTTGAATTGAATTTTGTAAGCTATATTTGTGTTGTAAGATCTGTTTTAATGGTTATTCTCTACGTTGCCGTGTTGGAATGCTGCTGTGTTGCACTAGATGCATTTCATGATTTGTGTATTTTATTCATATAGTTCTCATGGCATGTTTGACGGCATGGACATGTAGTTTAAGTACTTTAAACTCAAAGAATGCAACTACAGGGAGAACTCAACCTGCTCAACATGAGGTGGATCTGCACCTGCTGTTGACTGGGCTGCAAGCAAGTTTTCCAGTGTTTCATAGCATCGAACAGATAAGACTATACATATACCAGTAACCTAAGCAAGTGGCAAGCACAGTCCGGAAGTATTGCATGTTTAATCCGACTACAACTAACACATGTAAAACAGGTAAAATGTTAAGAAATGGAGTAGCCTTGTCAACTTTAAAGTGATGCTGTAAGTGCTAAAAGGGTGAAGTGTTCTGGTGTTATGTACAAGTTCAAGTCATTGCTAATTCCACTATAGTTGTTTACTGCTAAGCAATTCTGAGCATTAATGATATCTAACGTAGTATAACTGCTGGAGGAACATAATTTCACTCCACTGTGTACTTGTACACAGATGGACTGACAATGAAAGCCTCTTGACTTGACTGAGTATTGTGAAGGGACTTGTTGACACACTAAAAACACGAGTCATTCTACGGTGAAGCTGTAAAGTTACAGCAGCAGTCTACAACCCTTAACAAAGCATCTTTAGGCATAAACCCTTCAAGAGAGACTGAGGTAGGTGTAGAGACTCAAGCCGCTGCAGAAGAAGGACTATGAAGAAGCCAGAGAACCCAAAGACTTGCTAAAAAGGGACAAGGAATCGTAAGAGGGTAAATCTAAAAGATGAGCATTGCTTCACAATTACTTACAACAAATGGAAAGCCTTTGCTGAAGAGTCTAAAAGGGGACTCGACAGACATCTCATCAGTGAGAGCTTACAAGACCTCATGACCAAGATTTGCTGTGCTTCAAGAGATGCGAGTTTATGAGGACTTACGCCAGTACATTACCCTTGATTGAGAGACTCGCAGGTGAGTACATACTTGTGATGCTGTCTCGAGGCACACCTTAAATGTGGATGAAACTGTCTTGAAAAGAAAGATGAAAGTCTTAAAAGAAAAGGAATGTGAGAAGCAAGAGCTTGAGAAACTTGAAGCTGAGAACAGACAGGGGCTTGCACTACAAAAAGGAGAAAATGCTGCAAGACAAAATGCGTTAGAAGAGAAGTGCAGGCAGATTAGAGACAGTTAAAAAGAAATGATACTGCAAGTGTATGAAAAAGAAGTGAGCTTAGACGAGGAGATATCAGTGTTGCTCCATGACTGCAAGCCTAAGCGGAAGAAACCTGCACCTAACTCAAAGGGACTATAAGTGCATCACGTGGTGCCACCACAACATGCCACATATATACGACCTGGTATGATGCCACAGACTGCCACAAGGGGGCAACCTATCACTAATGCTCACCAGGGGCATAGTACAATAGCATTTGCCAAAGCAATAGCAAAATCCATCAATGTGAGCTGTGTCCCAGTTCCAGAGCCTGCTGTTTTCAGTGGTGACCAATTAAGGTAAAAGGCCTGGAAGATGTCTTTATAAACATCGATAGACAGGAAGACTATTCCAGTAAATGAGAAGTTTACTTACCACAAGTATGTCTTTGGATCTGCAAAGAAGGCCATTGAGAGTTATTTCCAGTTAGGCACAGAAGCAGCCTACCATTCAGCATGGGACATCCTGGATGAAAGATATGGAAGCTTTTTTGTGATAGCTAAAGCTTTCAAGGATAAACTCACCTCATGGCCATAGATAGGACCCGAGGACAGCGTTGAACTAAGAGAGTTCTCAGAGTTCTTGCAAGGCTGTCAAGCAGTGATGTCTCAGACTAAGTGTTTAGATGTCGTAAATGATTGTGGCGAAAATCAAAAATGCTCACAAAGCTTCCTGACTGGCTAACAGCCAGATGGAACAGAAAAGTCATTGCCTTGG